ATTTATCATAGTTTCATTACAAAAGTATTACATGTTAACAACAAAAGCAAATGCCCTATGGGCTTACAGCTTTCCAAGTTAACACCTGGTTACAACAAAAGAGTACTAACTCATACAGATTAAGCCCTTGGCTTGACTTTACATGTAATACATCAAAAAGTAAAGCGACATGAGTATGTCCGCCTCTAGCCTCCCAAGCTATGTCCTTGGAGGTGGCATGCTACCTGTACCTGAAAATGATATTCCCATATAGGGTGAGCCTATAAGCTATATCCACATTGTCAACAGATATGTATAACAACAATATCCCAGATTCACAGATAAGCATATAAGCTATATCCACATTGTCAACAGATATGTATAACAACAATATCCCAGATTCACAGATAAGCATATAAGCTATATCCACATTGTCAACAGATATGTATAACAACAATATCCCAGATTCACAGATAAGCATATAAGCTATATCCACACTTCACAAAGATAAGCATATAAGCTCTATCTTCACTTCTCTAGACACGCATATGAGCTGTATCTACGGAGTTCATCCCTTATCTTCTCCCAATACTATCCGGTTTAGAGGTACATCCCACATCTTCCCCTAAATCGCGGAGTACATCCCTCATCTCCTCCTCTACACATAACGTATGCAAACACATTGGTTCTATATACAATCACTCAATACATATAGTTAATGTATTCTATCAACCGTCAAATTTCATGACACATTCCATTGATTAGTTTTCGTTTGCCTAATCATCATGCATTGTCTACAACAATCACGACTATCCTCCACCGATAGCCCAAAGCAGTTATTTCTAAACAGAAAATAAATGCACAATGGATATTCAATCACATTTCATTTCTCACAATTAATTATCCCAATTAATCAAATAATGTAATTAGGTCATTACCCATAATTAACATTTCAACCCTTAGGTCCCATTTTCATCAATGATTGAACATTTATTCCATTTCTCTATTCCAATCATGCATCTAGGTTTATTATGAATAAAACCCCAACTTTTGTAAAATTACACAAAAGCCCCAAACTTTCACAAAATTACCAAACCAACCCCAACATCTCAAAATACTAAAATTTAAAGACAAAATCCATAGAGAGGAGTAGGATATCCCTACCTCGAAGTTTGAGCCAAAAAGGAGATGAAGACTCGAAGATCAACGTGTTCCAAATCCAAACTTTTTCAGATTAAAACGAAGCTCTCAACGCCCTCTATCTTTTTAATAAAAGCTCTAGGCTAGATTCACACTCTAGGGAGATCAAATCTTAGAGAGAGTGTAAGTTTAGAGAGAGAGAGTCTCGGATCTAGGGTTTCATCAAAAAAGAAAGTGAAAACTGAAGTTCAAAATCGCTACTGTCCGCTGATATAAAACACGCTCGCTCGAGCGAAGCCTTTGTCGCTCGAGCGACCAGACACAGAAAACTCTCGCTCGAGCCAAGAAGTTCTCGCTCGAGCCAAAAACTCAAAAGTGCGCTCAAGCGAAAGAATGCTCGCTCGAGCCAACAACTCAAACCCTCAGGTCTGCAACCAGCACGCTCGAGCGACAGACTTCTCACTCGAGCGAAGAACAAACCAGACCTCTCGAGCAAAGAAAGCTCGCTCGAGCCAAGAAATGCAACTCTCAGGTCCAGAACCAGACGCTATCGCTCGCTCGAGCGAAGCCACTCTGGCTCGATCCACCAGACACGAACTCAACGCTCGCTCGAGCGACCAACCCCTCGCTCGAGCGAAGGTCCAAAAATCTGGGCAGCAACACTAGGCTCCCAAACACAACCAACCTGCAACAAACCTGCCCAACACATCCTATAACTCAATATACAAAGTAAAAAGGATGCAAACAAGATAATAAACAACTATCAACATCCACGGACACATGTCCGGATCACTGTACAACAAGGGTAAACCCGGGATCGCTATAGATCAGCGCAATTATTTAATGGACCATTCTTCTGCAACATGATAATGGGCTTGTTTGGTGTAGGAAGTTGAAAATGTGTGAAGCCTCTTTTATTGGGCTGCGGACCAAAACCTTAAAGCCTAAGTGAGCTCGCATGGTGGATTGATGAATGGGCCAAAATAGGCTACTTCTATGGGTTCATGGCCTAGCCTCCAGGCTTAGCCCAAGATTTGAGTCTTTTTTTTAAATAATTGTTCTTCACTTTTTTTTTTATAATTTTTTGTGGGCTGGGCTGGGCTGGGTTTCAAATTCAAGGCCCAATCTCACTTGTCCTGGCATGTCTAGGATTTGGGCTTTATTTGTGTAAAAGCCCAATAAGCTTGGGCCAGGTTTGGTTTCAAGTTCAAGGCCCAATTCTAGGCTCTGTCTAACTTGGGCTAGCCTATCCAGGATTTGGCCTTTGTTTGAGTAAAATCCCAATGAGCTTGGGCCAGGTTGGCTTTCAAATTCATGGCCCAATTTCACTTGGGCTGGCCAGTCTAGGATTTGGGCTTTGTTTAGGTAAAAGCCCAATGAGCTTGGGTTGGGTTGGGTTGGGTTTCAATTTCAAGGCCCAATTCTAAGCCTAGTCTCATTTTAGTCGACATGTCCAAGATTTGGGCTTGGTTTAGGTAAAAGGCCCAACGAACTTAGGCCGAATTGAGTTTCAAATTCAAGGTCCAATTCCAAACCCAGTCTCATTTGGGCTGACCTGTTCAGGATTTGGGCCTTGGTTGGGTAAAAGCCCAACAAGTTTGGGCCGGACTGGGTTTCAAAGGCAAAAAACTGTATGTCATTATCTTTTATCTTTCTCAAATTTTTAAAATTGAGCCTTTAAGATTCATTACAATAAGAAAATAAATATGCACAAATTTTAATCACTAGTTTTTATAGTTTGGTTTTAGTGTCATTTCGACCTGTGTAATTTTAATTAATTCAATTTTAATCTTAAATTTTTTATTGTCTCAATTTAACTTAATTAACTGCAATCATTAACTCTCTTTTTTTTAAAAAAAATTATGAAAAGTGCGCACATAAGTGGCATGAGTTATGCTTTTAGGAACAAAATTACAATTTTTCTTAACTAAGTCAATCTCAATCATCTCATTAATGATTTTACTTCAAAAAACACTAATTGACGTTATTAATTGAATCAAAATAATACAAAATTTAAAATTTAAATCAAAATTAAATCAATTAAAAATGTGTGAATCAAAATGATATATAAGACAAAATACAAAACTACCAATTTAATTTACCCAATAAACATTACCACTTTCCCTATCTTGATTCCGAGGAAGATCCAAGGCTGCCGGCTATCAACTTGCAACCTAAGACAAGAAAATTAAACAAACAACAAAATCAAATCAAGGCCAAAAAAAAAAAACTATGGTACAAAAGAATTTTTTTTTTTATGATTGTCAAGAAAATATTCAAAAATATAATAAAAAATAAAAAAATTTAGTCCTCGATTTGTATTGAAAAGTGTTGTTCGAACTCATGGAGTTCGCTATGAGTTTCATTCTGATAATCTAAACCGATCATTTTGTATTTTAAATTTCCCATTATTTAGTGTTTTTAAACTACCACACATTATTCATGTCAGAATACTTTCCCAATTATCTCTTACAAAAGAGAGAGAGAAAATTTAATTAAACTGTAAATTAAATCATTGGTCGCTGTAATTTAAGTGTCATTTTAGTCATTGTAATTTCAATTTGAACATTGTAGTCCTTACATTTTAAATTTTGTTATAAGATGATCTTTCCGTCAAATGTTGTTAACAATTGAAACATAAAAAATTAAGTGCAAAATTAGAAGGATCAAAATAAAATTCAAAACAAATTATAGGGACCAACAATATAATGAATATATTAATTACATCGGCAATCATATAATTGGTTTTGAATTTCACTTTGGTCCATCTTTTATTTTACTCATAGTATTTTTCCGTTTCAAATTCAACAATAAGTAACAAAAAAAATCACATTCGAAAAAATCACATTCCAACAAAATTGAAAATGTATAAACCAAATCCCAAAACTATATTGTTGGTTAAAGATGGAAAAACTTCTAAGCCATCCTCTACCAACGGAGAAAAACCATGATAGAGATATGAATTCATTGAAAAACATATTAACAAACGTAATTGGGTTCTTCTACTAACAATATTATATTTGGGTTCTTTTATTTTTATTTTTTAATTTATATGCTATTTTCGCAGAGTGATAGAGGGCTAATGAAAGGAGACTCCATTTTTTACTTAACTCTCAGCACTCAATTTCTTCTTCTTCTCATAAAAATATAGCCATTTTTAAGACTGCTAAAGCTTTTTTCACCAAAAAAAAAAGTCAACAACCTCTTTGCTTTGCTTTGCTTCTGATCTGTTGGTTTTTCTTTTCCTTCTGTAATTGGAAACAATGCCTCTAGTAGAGATCTTTCTCTCTGGCTTCATCAAATTGATGTTTGAGAAGATTACCTCTTTTGTATCCTCGAAATTACCCGCCTTTGAAGGTATTGATACCCAGCTGACCAATTGGACCAAGATGCTACGCCAAATTGAAGCTATTCTGATTGACGCAGAGGAGAAGCAAATGACAGTTCCAGCCGTGAACCTATGGCTCGACGATCTCCGGGATCTGGCATATGATTTGGATGATTTAGTGGATGAGTTCGCCACCAAAGCTTTGCAACACAAGCTCAGGGCAAAGCCGCCTCAATCTAGTTCCAGCAATGTATGGAAACTCATCCCTAATTTCAAGCCAACAAATGTTATCCTCAATGTCAAAATGAACTCCAAGATTGAGGAGATCAATACCAGATTGCACAATAGTTTTGAACAATGTTCGAAACTTAATTTGGTTAAGATTGTTGGAACCACCACACCTATTAAGACTTGGCAAAGACCAGAGTCTACATCTTTATTTGATGAACCTCGCTTTTACGGCCGAGAACGCGATCAGAGTAAGATAATTGAGCTGCTCGTAAAGGGGGATGAAACAAGTGATAACAACGTTGGTGTAATTCCCATTGTGGGTATGGGTGGGATTGGCAAGACCACCCTTGCTCAGATGGTATACGAGGATAAAACCGTGGACAAGTATTTCAATCTGAAAGCATGGGTCTATGTTTCAAATGAGTTTGACATTATGAAAATAACAAAAACTGTTTATGATTCAGTGACTTCCGAAACATGTAGTTTTAATAACTTGGATCAAGCTCAAGTTAAACTACGGAAGGCTTTGGCGGGAAGGAAGTTTTTAATTATTTTAGACGATGTCTGGAACGAAGATTACAATGCTTGGAATGTTTTGAAGAAACCTTTCAATGATGGAGCCCAAGGAAGTAAAGTCGTGGTGACAACACGTAACAGAGACATTGCAACAATGATGGCAACTGTTGAACTCCATGACATTAAGATCCTATCAAATAAGCATTGTTGGTCATTGTTTGCACAACATGCCTTTGCAAATACAAATATTGATGCAAATCCAAATTTGGTATCAATTGGTAAGAAAATTTTGGAGAAATGTGAAGGTTTACCTCTCGCTGCTAGGACACTCAGTGGCCTTTTACGCAACAAAGTACGAGATGAGGAATGGGTAAATGTATTGCATAGTAAAATATGGGATTTACCACCCAATAAAAGTGGCATCCTTCCTGCTTTGAGATTAAGCTACCATGATCTTCCTTCACATTTAAAGCAGTGCTTTGCATACTGCTCAATAATACCCAACGACTATGAATTTAAGGAAGAGGAGCTAGTCCTGTTGTGGATGGCAGAGGGCTTCATTCAACAACAAAAAGAGAAGCAAATGGAAGATGTAGGAGCTGAGTACTTCCGTGAATTGTTGTCAAGGTGTTTTTTCCAACCATCTAGAACCTCTAAATTTGTGATGCATGACCTCATCAATGATTTGGCTCAAGTAGTTGCAAGAGATACTTGTTTTAGAATGGAGGATAGATTGAAAGATCAGGACCAGTACAAGAATCTAAAGAAAGCTCGACATTCATCTTACATGCAGCAATACTATGAGTGTATCAAAAACTTTGAGATCATTGATAAAGCCAAGCATTTACGGACTTTCTTACCATTTGGCTTAAAATATAGGTCGGGTTATAATTTGGCAAGCAATGTTCCCCTTAATCTATTCCAGGAGCTAAAACGCTTAAGGGTGCTCAATATGAGTAGATATCTCATCACAGAACTTCCAAATTCGGTTGGAGATTTGAAACATCTACGATATCTTAACCTTTCCTACAGCCATATAAAAGAATTACCTGAATCACTAGGCTCTCTCTACAATCTACAAACGTTGATGTTAAGAGAATGTAAAAAACTAAAAAAGTTGCCTCTAGATATGGGAAACCTAATTGACCTACGTCATCTTGATACTACAGGTGCAGATTCCGTAGAAGAATTGCCAATGGGAATAGGTAAGTTGGTTAGTCTTCATACACTGTCCAATTTTATTGTTACTAAAACCAATGGGCATCGGATAAAAGAGTTGGGGAACTTAATTTATCTACAAGGGAAGCTTTGCCTATCTGGATTACAGAATGTGGTGAATCCTCTAGATGCAAGGAAGGCGAATTTAAATGATAAGAAGGGATTATATGTGTTATCAATGGAATGGAGTGCTAACTCAGATGATTCACGAGATGGAAGAGTTGAAATAGAAGTGCTTGACAAGCTACAACCTCACAAGAATTTAAAAGAGCTCCATATCAAAGGCTACCTTGGTACATGATTTCCAACTTGGATAGGAGATTCTCTGTTCTCCAATATGGCTAACCTAAGTTTAGATAATTGTGGAAATTGTGCATCCTTACCACCACTCGGACAACTACCCTCCCTCAAAAAGCTTTACATTAAAGGAATGAGTGTACTAAAGCGTGTCGGTTGTGAGTTCTACGGGCAAGGTGGTATTCAACCTTTTCCGTTACTGCAGACTCTAAGCTTTGAGAATATGCCAGAATGGGAGGATTGGTATACTTTTGGAGATCACAAGGAAGTTCAACCATTCACTCGTGTCAAGTCTCTCTCCATAATAAAATGTCCTAAACTTCTTAAAATGTTGCCTACTCATCTACCTTGTTTGAATAAACTAAAGATTTCAGAGTGCCCGCAATTCCTAGTTGAAGGTTCCAGCATTAGCCTCCCATTACTCACTTGGATAGATATGAATGGCGTCCCTCTAACAAGCCTTGAAGCGGTCCTTGAGATGGGAGTATGGCTGATGATGAAGTGATATCGGCAAATGCAAAGTCTAAGCATCCGAGTTTAATAACTTCCTTGAGCATTTGGATGATTAAGAAACTCGAGCTCTTGCCGAAATGGGTTACTCATGGGCTGATGGAACTCAAGGCATTGAAGATTACAAGCTGTGAAGAACTCAAGACACTGTGGAAGAATGAGGTGAGAGTGCAGCACAGTCTCCTTACATTCCGAAGTTTGAAAATTAGAGACTGCCCCCAGCTTGTTTCATTGTTTGAAGAAGATGATAGGAATGGCAATGGGGGGCAATGGGGTGGATATTAATTCCCCATCCCCATTCTCCTATAATAAATTTTCCCCATTCCCCATGGGTACCACCCTCCCCACTTTTTAATGGGTGTGGATTTTTCCCAACCCACTTTAATCCCCATTTTTATTTTTTATATTTAATGTTAACAACCAATTTTTTTTTTTTTTAAGGTTCGCAACAAAAGTTAAATATACCTTCAATCTTTTTTCTTTCTTTTTTAATATATTTAATGTTAACAACCTTCTTTTTTTTCTTTTTTTATAAAGGTTTTAGCTAAATATACCTTCAATCTTTTTTCTTTCTTTTTTAATATATTTAATGTTAACAACTTATTTTTTTATTTATTTTTTATTTTTTTAAGGTTCACAACAAAAGCTAAATATACATTCAATCTTATTTTATTTTATTTTATTTGGTTCAACAACAAAATCAAATACACATTAATTAATTAATTAAAAAGTTTGTTTTATAATAATCAAATATATAATTTTGAGACAATCAAATAAGTTTTAGTAATTGAAAAAAAAAATGTGGAAGAACGTGGAAGATTAAAAAAAAATTACAACCATCTCTCTCTCTCTCACTCTTACTCTCTCCTCTGCATGTTATAAGAACCTGATTACAATGTTATAAGAGCCTGTTTGAAAAAATAAAATGTGAAAGAACTTGTTTGAAGAAAGTGTTATAAGACTCACATTAAATTGCATCAGGGCATAAATAAGAAATTGTTTGTTGATCTCTTAGCCACGGACATTTTAGACATTAAACCATCTTTCTCTTAGCAAATTTGGACCATTCATTTTAATTTATCCAAAATCTAATTATACCTTTAACAAATCTGAACCACTCATTTTAAGATATCTATGCCTTACCACACCCAATCCATCCTCCATCTTCTTCCTTTAGTCCCCCACGAATTTTGTTGTTTGTTACTTTTAAAAAACAAAAAATGTTTTTTCAATTAAATTTTTACTAATTTCACAACGCCATCACCACTATTCTCACCTTCACTATCACACTACCATCACCATAGCCACCACCATCATCACTGCCACCATCACCCCACCACTATGCCACAATCTCTACTTTCACCTTCGTTCTATCACCACCAACACCAAATATAAAAAAATATATTTTAAATTTTTTTTATAAAAAATATTTTTCATTAAAAAATATTTTATATCTAAATAAATGAAGCATAACATTGGGAAACAAGCTGATTTCAGTTAAACCTGTTCATAACTAAGAAAAATTCTTTTAATTTAAAAAAAAATTATTTAGTAAGACTTTGTATCACATTTTTGTTTTTCCAGCAAATAAATCTTTGTACCCATCATTTCTAACCAATCACGACTCATGCTTGTTTTGATTCTCTACAATTTCCTTATTTTCAAATACATTCATATATGTATATGTATATATATATATGTTGTATAAATTGTATGATAACATAAAACAAATAGATTCATACTCGTTAATTGAAATTTCAGAACAAGCAAACCATTCTGAAAATTACAATACACAACAAAATAAAATAACATAGAAAAGCAAACCGAAACCTACACTAGACAATGTCCTTAATTTTTTTTAAATAAATTTAAAAAATTCTAGATATGCATAAAATTTGACAAGAATAATGTGACAATGTTAATTAATGTGTATTTGATTTTATTGTTGAGCCAAATAAAATAAAATAAGATTGAATGTATAGCTTTGGTTGTGAATCTTAAAAAAAAAAAAAAAAAAAAAATGGTTGTGAACCTTAAAAAAAATCCCCAACCCATCCATATGGGAAAATTAGTGGGTACCCATCCCCAACCCATCCCCTGTGGATATTTAAAGAATATCACCTACCATACCCAATGGATAAGAAAAAAAGGAGAAAACCCATGTATTTGGGTTGGGTCAAAAAAAAAAAAAAAAAAAAGGTTGTGAACCTGAAAAAATAAATAAATAAAAAAAAAGAAAAAAGATTGAATGTATATTTAGTTTTGGTTGTGAATCTTAAAAAAAAAATACATATGGGGAAATTAGTGGGTACCCATCCCCTGTAGATATTTAAAGAATATCACTTACCCTACCCAATGGATAAGAAAAAGAAGGAAAAACCCATGTATTTGGGTTGGGTCTCTATGGATACCCACAGGGTAGGTTATCTATTGCCATCCCTAGACTTTATTAGATCTTATTAATTATTTCGGAGCCTTATTTATTTGAATCCCTTAAATAATATCAAAATTATCCTTATAAAAATGTTTCACCTATTCAATTGATTACACACCCAAACATCCCAAAAAGTTTCTCAAAAACCTTAACAAAATCCACGAAGGTGATTGCTACTTTATCTCTACATGCTTATTCACGACTTGAGAAAATAAAGTTTGGTTATCTGTTCCCGAACAAATAAACAATGTTTGGGTATATGTTCTTGAATTTTAATTATATGTTTGGGAGTTCAGTTCAAAAAAAAAATGATAAACAATTTTTATTATTTTTGTCATTTTTTTTCAAAAAACTTATCCTTATAAGGCTAATCTCCTCTGAGCTAAGAACACCATTAAGTTATGAACCTCCTATGAGCTTTTATTGTTATACTCCTCTCGTCTCATAGAGTTGTAGTTGTCGAAAAAACTTCCATTTATTGTTATTGGCAGAGAAGTGAAGGTAATTAAATGGTTGCCACTGTTACCGTCGAAATATTGCCGCCAAAAGATTTTCAAGGTTTTGAGGGTGAATAGGTTTTGAAGATAGGATTTGGAGAAGATGGATAGATGGTGATGAAGGTGGGTACAATTTAAATGATAAGAAGGGGTTAGATGTGTTATCAATGGAATGGAGTGTTAACTCAGATGATTCACGAGATGGAAGAGTTGAAACAGAAGTGCTTGACATGTTACAACCTCACAAGAATTTAAAAGAGCTCCATATCAAAGGCTACCTTGGTACAGGATTTTCGACTTGGATAGGAGATCCTCTGTTCTCCAATATGGCTGGCCTACATTTAGATAATTGTGGAAATTGTGCATTCTTGCCACCACTTGGACAACTACCCTCCCTCAAAAAGCTTTACATTAAAGGAATGAGTGTACTAAAGCATGTCGGTTGTGAGTTCTACGGGCAGGGTGATGTTCAACCTTTTCCGTTACTGGAGACTCTAAGCTTTGAGAATATGCTAGAATGGGAGGATTGGTATACTTTTGGAGATCGCAAGGAAGTTCAACCATTCACTCGTGTCAAGTATCTCTCCATAATAGAATGTCCCAAACTTCTTAAAATGTTGCCTACTGATCTACCTTGTTTGAATAATCTTAAGATTAGGGACTGCCCCAAACTCTGCTGGATGATGCCCAAGGATCTACGTTGTTTGAATGATCTAGAGATTTCACAATTCCTAGTTAAAGGTTCCAGCAATAGCCTCCTGTCACTCACCTCGATAGCTATGAATGACGTTCCTCTAACAAGCCTTAAAGCAGTCCTTGAGATGAGGAGTATGGCTGATGATGAAGTGATATCGGCAAATGCAAAGTCTACGCATCCAAATTCAATGATTTCCTTAAGCATTGGGATGATTAAGAAACTCGAGCTCTTGCCGAAATGGGTTACTCATGGGCTAATGGAACTCGAAGCATTGAAGATTACTAGCTGTGAAGAACTCAAGACACTGTGGAAGAATGAGGCGAGAGTGCAACACAGTCTCCCTGCATTCCGACGTTTGGAAATTGAAGGCTGCCCCCAGCTTGTTTCATTGTTTGAGGGAGATGAGGATGAAGAAAATGAAGGGCAACATCAGCAACAACAAGAAGAGGGACTCCCTTGCATAGCGAGGCTTGAGCATCTAAGAATATATAATTGTGAAAAGTTGGAGAAACTGCCACAGCTGCTACATACCTTCACTTTTCTTCAAGAGTTGTATGTCTATAACTGTCCAAGTCTCGGCTCTTTTCCGGAGACAGGTTTTCCGTGCACGCTGAAAACACTCAGGTCATGTTTGTTTGGGTGGACATGAGCTTGGGATTGGACTAATAGTCTAATAAAATTATTAATCCGATGTTTGGTTAAACAATTGAAGTACGGATTAATTATTTTAAACTTGACTTTTAGTTAAGATAGGATACATAATCCAACGGATTCGTAATCCCAGGATTATTAGTCATGGGAATGCTAATCCAGTCCGCCCAAACAAACATGGCCTCAAGGTACGTTATTGTGAGGCTCGACAATCCTTATTCGAGTGGATAACGCAGATTAATGACAATAATCTTGAAGTGTTAACGGTTGAGAATTGTCCATCCCTCACATGCTTGATATCGTGCAGAGGTGTGGGGCTACCACCCACACTCAAACACCTTGAGATTGAGAAGTGTAAAAAGTTTGAGGCACTGCTAGTAGAGGAGGGGATGGAAATTAACTGTCCATCTCTTTAGTCTGTTCGGATCTGGTGTTGTCATATGCTGAAATACTTGCCCGATGCCCTTCCTAATAATAATAATCTCAGGAATCTCAGTTGATTGATCTTGCATGAGTGTAAGAATTTGGAGTACATTCCGGAAGGATGGTTCCACTCCGCAACAAATCTGAGAGAATTGAATATCAGGGGATGCAAAAAACTGAACGCCCTACCACACGGATCGCAGAGCATGAACATCAACTGCCTCACTTCTCTTCAGGAGCTGTATTTGAATATTTCGGAATGGAACAACTTCAAGAAGATTGATTTGCACAGTTTATCCTCTCTTAAAATCTTGTTGATTGAAGGCAAAGACGAAGAACATCCGGTGGGTTCCAGCTTTCCGATAGATGGGATGTTGCTGCCCACCTCTCTGATCGATCTTCGCATCTCGGGTTTCCAAAATCTCCTAAGTTGTTTCAAAACCTCTCCCCTCTTGAATTTCTTAAAATCGGTGGTTGCCCTATGCTCAAATCTTTACCAGTGCGAAGGCTGCCTCCCTCACTTAAGAGATTGTGGATCATCGGGGGAAGTCAGAAACTAACAGGGAAGTGTGAAAAGAAGAAAGGCAAATATTGGCCCCACTTAGCCCACATTCCTTGTGTCGAGTTGATGGTTGATGATTGATGATTCCCACCGCAATACAAGCAATCAAATTGCCAGGTATCAAAAGAGAAACTAATTTGATAAATATATACATTTAAAAATATTTTCAGATTTTAAAAACAAAATATTTTTTCAAAAATACAAAATCATATGAAAAACCATAACTGTTTTTGCTTATCACTTTTCAAATTTTTTTTGAATGCGGGATCCCTCAAGTATGCAATACATTATATTTTCAAGTTAATCGATTTTTTTTGGATGAGGAAGTTATTTGCAAATTCATATAAAAATTTAAAACAAAATAAATTTGTATTTTGAATTAACAAAAAATATTTTTGAAAATAATGAAAAAAATATGTTAAATTTAAACTCAGATGAGCATTATGGAATGAGTACATAATTTTCAAAATTTTGTTTCGTTTAGGAGTTTTCAAAAACAGTTTTAAAATTTTTAATTCATATTTTTTTAATATATTGGCTAATTTGCTTTATTATTTTTTTATTTTTTAGATGCATCTAATCTATATATACTAAAAAATCTTTAAAAAATTTAATAAATACAAAATAAATACGAAAATGTATTAAATATTTAGTGATTTTTTAAACCATTTTTTTCATAAGTTTGATATGTTTTAGGTGTATTTAGATTGAGTGGATCTAAAAAATTAAAAAATATTGATTAAAATACTTAAAAAGTTCACTGGAAATAATAAAATATGGATTGAAACTTAAAAACTATTTTTGAAAATGCCAAAACCAAACAAAGTTTTAAAAATTATTTCAATTTCTAAAAACTAAATGAGTTTTGGATTTTTAAATTTCTAAAAAAGATTTTTTAGAATATACAACCAAACAAATTTTTAGAAAATTATCTTTCAAAATTGATTATGAAAACCAAACCTTAGTTTTTTGGGTTTTCTGTGCTAGTCATTAATAAATTATTTTTGTATTTGTTAAGTTGTTACCTATCTAGTGACCGGGGAAAAGTCAAATTGAAAGTGATTAAGGTGGTATAAATTCTTGTTGAAAGGGGAATTTTTTGGCCAGTCAAATGAGCGTAATGTTAAAAAAAAGAAAAGAAAAGAAAAGAGAATGAAATGTTGTGAAATTATGTAAGTAGTTTGCAAATGCCTAGAAAAATTAAATAATTTTTTTGTTGTTGGAAGAGCAAACTTAAAAGGTTACAAACAAATATACGCATATCAGGTGTTCAAATTTCTTTTTGGTGAGCTATTCTAATAAATATGGAAATTGAAAGCAATTTTAATTGTATACCTAGAGTTGTTACATTTTATGTATTAAAAGAATTCAGAGAAGTTTTATCAATCTATAAGGGATTATTTGATACAGATATGTGCTTTCAAGGATTTGAATACAAAGAGAGGCATATTCCGATAGATTTCCTTGCCTGCTTTTATTTCCTGAAGGAACCACAACAAATGGAAGAGTTCTCATTTCTTTCTAACTTGGTGTATTTGTCCCTGGATATCCTGTCCATCTAGTGATTGTTCGCTATCCCCATGTACACTTTTGACCAATCTTGGTAAGAATTTTCTTTAGTTAAAACCGTTTTGTTGTTGTCTTTTGTAATGTCTTTACCTAACTTGCATCATATGGCCTATCATTTTGTTTAGGGGAAATATAGCTTTGGGAAAGCTCATGTTAGAATGTTCAAAGTTTCACAATTTCATAGAGGTATGTTGAGTGATTTTTTATACTAAAAATGTAGTGAGTTTGCCTTCCCCCACTATTTTTGTTTGTAAAATTTTTGGGTAGTATGGTGTGTGAAGTGGCAATTCATATATATAGGTTGTTATAGTGATGCCCCAATTTGCTATTTTTCTTTTGATAACTAACTCACTCTCGCAGATCATCAATATTGATTATTCATCAACTTAAATGTATATGCATTTATATGATGTGTCCCTGACTATATTATAATTTGAATTTTGGTTACAAAATAACTTGTTTGTTGTAAAAAGTTGAAGTCATTTATTAAATTGTACAGGTAGAGTATCATCCAGTTATCTTACCCCTTCAAAATCAGTAGGAAAATGCTGCCCATTTTGCTTAGAGGGTGAGTCAACATTATTTGATTAATCTTTGTTTCCTTGTTGGCTTTACTTGATATTTTAATATTAATTATATTCTTATACATCAAAATTTTTAATGGGCACATTACATACAATTTGTTAATTTTTTTTATAATGTTAACATGTTCTGTATTTCATATGCTTTATCTCCTAAGCAATTCAAGACCAGTGGATGTTTAACACACCGTAAATATTGTAATTGAATTTGTGTGATGTTATGTCTACTACATTTGTGTGTGGAAACCTACCCTTTTTTTCGCATCTGTGCCCAAAGAATTAGCCAATTGATGATTCCTGGTCTTTGGATTTCAAGTAATATTATATATATATAAGGATCAAAATTTCGTTTTGGTGTGTTGTTTCAAATAGTACAAAAGCAAAAACATCTCGAAAATGTTTTATGAAATGAAGATAAAATAGAAACGTTTGAAAATATAAATTGAAATATACCTAAATGTATAAAAGCTAATAATTGATTATAGCCATTCACGTAAAAGAATTAAAAAACTAATGTCACCATGAACTAAAAATTATTAAGCATTGTCAAATAACTCAATTTTATTAAACAAAAATTTCCAATGAGGTCTAAAAACTTACTCAAACAGTAGCAATAAATGAAATTTTCTAAATTTGTATAGATAAAATTTACCCTTTCAGAAGTATCATGAAAAGTCTTTATGAAGATTCTCCACCCTTGGATTAGATTATAGTGTTTGTAGTGTCTTATTGTATATTATACAATTACCCTTAGATTAGTTTCATGAAGCTTTTCATGGTATTTATTTCATGATGCGTAGCATTACTGTTCAGCATATCACACTATGTTTTGGTGTGGTTCACTATGTTTTGATATGTTTCAATGAAAACACTAGAATTTTATTATTCCACTAGTGTTTCGTTTCGGCCTCTTGGGAAATGGAAACACTTTGGCCATTTCAATGGAAACAAATGAAAATTTTGTTTCTCATATATATTAAAGATAAATCCATGTCAAAAAGTTTTCATTCATGTATTGTCTACATTTTTATGCTATTTGGTTCCAAACAAATGGCATATGGTACCTATTAAAATTGGGTGTAACTGCACATGCAATAGCCCTCATGTCTTCCATGTGCACTATGTTAACTTATTACAATTGGAGGAATAGTTTCCTATTGTCCGTCTTTAGTTTGGGAAATATTTCCCTTATGTATTCTTTTAGTAGTTGTTGGTGTATTGCCATGATTCTTAGGGGCAGAGCCATGTATAACAAAGTTCCCACTAGAAATTTGAAGATCTGAAATTATATACACTCCATATGTTTACAAAATATCTACCTAACTAACTCTGTTACAACAAGTTGAACTAACACTTGACTTGTTTGGTTTGCAGAACAACATATCTCTAGTCTGGTCTTGGATTGAATCCTGGATTGCTGAGTCTTGCTTGGTTACACTAACTGTACAAACATTTCACTCCTATGGGGACATCATGCTGCTTGCAAAAGCTTCTGAGTCCAAACAGGTCACTTTTCGTGCTCCATATGTTTTGGCTTTTATAGTTTATCTTGCTTTTAGGTCGGCAAAAATGATCTTGTACTTCATTCAAACATTCTATGAAGTGCTAGATTTTAGCTCTTAAACTTAATTTGATGGCCTTTTTTGCGATGGACCAAGAATATTTGATGGAGCTGCAATGATGGAATTTACATTGTCTCCTTGGGATCTCATAATGTATTAGGTGTAGGCCTTGAAGCACTCCGTTTAACGCTTATAATTCCTGTCTTCCAAAATAAATAACTTCACCTCTCTTTCACATGCATTACTAAAATATTTTAGTGTACTTCGGTTTGCCAAGTTTGATTTCTTTCAAATTGGGTTGATTCATAGAACTTAACTTTGTTCATTTAGCTCAACAATCTAAATATTGCAAGCACAAAACAAAGTCTACTCAAGGCTCCAGCTGCTTGGTTCTTTTAGCAGTTGTAACCTTGGTCCTTTATTTCTCCGTTGTATGTTTCCACTTTGATGGAAGAGTATTTTTTTTTTTTTTGCCAAATATGCCTTGCTCCTTCTAGGGAGTATATATGTTGTTTTGCAACATTGTGCTTGTTCATTGTGTTTATTGCCTAGCCTTAGAAAACTGTCCAGGAACTTTCCCGGATGCAACCTTAGCTTCATTGGTTTCTTTAATATTTTTTCATATTTACCTGGAAAACTTTTTGTAAATTTCTCATCTTGTCTACTAACTTCTATACAAGCCTTTTTCTAATAAATAATAATGCTAAATTATTTAAAGAGTCATGCTAATGACAGCCCAATGGGCTGCCAATAAGGGGAAGAAAATGCCAAAAAACTCTCAATGTATTTTTTACACATCCCAAAGCATTTTCACAAATTTGGACACTTTTTACACGTCCGCTGGTACTGTTGGCAGCCCAAAGGCTGTCTTTAGCATTTTTCCTTATTTAAATTATGCAAATGTATTCCATGTCCAAGAGATATGCAGGAAGACTCGTAGGAATGATGGAAACAACCAATACTGCATGTTTTATAAAACTAAGTTGCATCTCTCTCTCTCTCTCTCTCTCTCTCTCCCTCTCTCTCTCTCTCTCGCTCTATGGGGGAGTTTGAAGTCTTCTATGGAGTCCACCCTAATTTTTTTGCATTTGTATGCTTTGCAGGAAAATCCCTTACTATATACTGTTGAAATGGCAAATGTGGAATCGGTGAGTTTTTAATTGAATGATTTATATATGAATACTTTTGTTGTGTTATAATATGGTGAAAATACAGATAGATTCGTATCATATCCTCATTATCTTTTGGTTTTGTTTTTTTTGGTGTGTGTGTGTATATTTAATATAAATGTATAACACATTTTAGAAGAAAAAAACAAAGCATGCTTTTGTATCTATTGGTTAAAATGATGAAAAATTGAAAATGAGCTTTATAGACTTGTAATTTACATATGGCTTTAGAGAAGAATTTTTGGGTGCTTAGAATGCATGATGTTGTGTGTTCCTATAGTCAAGAGCACTCTATCGAGCTTGCCTATTTATTTTTTGTCCATGACCCATTTTTGGCGTTTTATCCTTTCAAAACGTTACTCACCTAAGGTTTTAGTTCAATTGTGAATTTTATTTTCCTCCCAAGGAAACCTTCGAGGAAATATATTTGAAAACCTTTTGAGATCATTAAATTTATGGTTTTTGAACAAAAATGTACCATGTTGCAGAACGTGCTTTCCAAAATCTAATTCGTTTGGGTGTTAACGTTTTGTGGTAACACTTTGGTTTTATGGATTTTGTAGAGAGCTTATTTCCATTGGTTTTTTAATTGGGGTGCATTCTACACATAGCGCATGCCTATTTTCTCTGTTGGTTTGCAATATATTATCTTTGTTTTTTTAAAATGCAAAGGAAGATTCAAGTAATTTGATTACCATCAATTATTCTAAATACATTGATCCCTCTCTAAACCAAATTTCTCTCTTTTTATTCAGTATTCTAGTTCATCATTATTGGATTACTCTCAATTTTATATTAATTGGTCAATTGGAAAGAAGATGAATTGGATTTTCTCAAACATGTTCTCAAACATGAATTGGATTTTCTCAAACATGAATTGGATTTTCTCAATTTTATATTAATTGATCCCTCTCTAAACCAAATTTCTCTCTTCTTTGAATTGATCCCTCTCTAAACAGGAATTGATCCCTCTCTAAACATGAATTGGATTTTCTCAAACATGAATTGGATTTTCTCAATTTTATATTAATTGATCCCTCTCTAAACCAAATTTCTCTCTTCTTTGCCAGACATTCGATTTAAGCAGAGGCTGTGGACTTTTTGGATACATTTCTATCCATGAATCCAAATTCCAGGTATGACGACAAGAAATTTTAATTTTAGTGATATTTCTGCAACACAATAACTATCATGTATGGCTACATTTTCCTGTAAGGAGCTATTTATAATATACTTCTGATCAAAACTTCTTGAGTTGTTCATCTGGAACTTCATGCCACCTTACCTGTATGCAAGTCCCTAAATGTGATCAATTTTCCTTCATTCTGTCGCTTAAGATTATTGCACAGGGTATTTGAATCATGGATGAGTAATCCGCTTGCTTTTTTATATTTTATTTTATCCTTCATTTCGTGTGTTCCTTCTGTTCTGTTTCTTTTTCCTTTCTTTCGCTTGTAGATGTGATTTTTATTTGAGTTTATTAAAAAGTATATTTTCATTGAACTAAAGCTGCATCCATGCCAATGATGCAAATGAGGGATTTTTTGGTGGCTAAATCAAATTATTCTTGATATTCCATTATTTGATTTAAAAGCATATGTTATTGCTTCTTCCCATTTTTCTCAGATATATCAAATCCTTGGTAGGGTTATAATTAACGTTGATCATGAGTATTTCTGTGAATAGATATTTTTACCCTCATCAGTATGTTATGTATTAGTTGTGCACTGGATAATCCTACTGTTGCACTGAAATTCATTAATCATTATCATATCAGGCTTTTCTTTTCTTTATTTTTTCTTTTACGCATAATTTTAAAACATGTGAGCTCAATTTTCTTCCAACAACTGGGTTTCAAAATTGACACTTTTTTTTATATTGTGATTTGTGACTATTATAACATACTGTAGTGCTTCACTAAACTGAAGATGTACACCATGTGCTTCAATAGCGCTTAAGTTGTCGCAGATTTCACTGAGTCGGTGAAGGTTAGAGTTGCTTTATGGGCAAAATCTAATTTAAAAGAATTGAAGTATTCAGTTCATGACATAGTAACTAATCTGAAGCAGGTATGCTTTTGTGTATAGATGGAAGTCAATCTAGTTGCTGCTGCAGAATTGAGGTGTATTGTCTGTCAGTTGCAGCTTCAGAGTTGCTGCTAGATGTAGAAGCTGTGAATAAGTTGCTGATAGATTGATGCTAGTTAGATTTTGGGTGCTACTAGATTAAAGCTGTTTTACCCTGGGTGTATAGAACTGTTATGCCCTGGTTTTGTTCTGTTTAGTCTCCTGTTTTTCCTGCTTCTCTGTTTTTTCAGTTTCTTGGATCAGATTCAAGACTGCAGTTGAGAGATATTAGCTGGTTTATTACCTGGGTCTGCCACCACCAAATTTAGAAGACTTATGCAAGGCTGTCAAAGTTCAATATTGTATTAAGCAGGGGAGATGAGCATAGCCCTGTCTTGCTGCCTGCACTGGAATCTAGACAATTGGATGTGGGTGCTCTACTGTGTATTGTGTTTTGTGGTGTGTAAGTTAGAATTGCTCTTGGGTTAAGCCAAATATTAAAGGAATGAATTACTCAGTGCTGTTTGCTGCTGCTGTATACTGGTCTATGGTTGCAAACCTGCATGCTGTTGTTTTGGTCTGCTGTTGTGTGCTGCTGTCCTAAGGCATATTGCTATGTGCAGAATGCTGCTGCTGGTGTCTGCTGCTGCTGGTTGTTACTGGTTGATAAGCAGCTGGTTGATAAGCCTGTGAGTTAATTAAATTAATTAAGATTAGAGTTGCACTAAGTGTAATATTGGACAGTTGCTGGTGTTTTGGCTGGAAGGGTATGGAGAGGGTATATTTTATGTTGCTCATCTGATAGAGTGCATAGGGCAGCAGGGGGAAGTTTATCTAGTTTGTTCTGCAGGTAGTCAATTTGGTTCATAGTTGATGCTACTGCTGATGTTGCAATTCTTGGTGCTGGTGGAGCTGGCAGCCTCACCAACTTGTGGGTTTAGTGCTAGCAGATGATTGTGTTTCCTCCTTGGTGCCAACCTAGTTGGGATTGTGGAGTGTTAGTTATGATTCTTTTTGCACTTCTCTCCTTTATTGATGTATATTGATGCTTGTTTTTGCTCATCTCATCAATAGAGTTTCATTTTTCTTTGCTGATCAAAAAAAAAAATAGTGCTGAAGTTGGTGGTGATGCAAGATTTGTTTATCTCACTGTTTGCATCCTGCTCATAGCGGACAGGTTAGAATCCACGATTTCTTCAGGGTTCTGAGATTGAATCATAAACTATGCGATTTGCTATGTAATAGTACTCTTATTTGTTGTTGTGTATCTATTTTCTTATGATTTGATGAGTCACTATCTAACTTTCAATGTTGGACTGTGGTGATGTCCCATGTCTGTCCGTACTTCTTAGATGTTGACCCATGTTGTGCCTTTGTGATGACTTGAACATAGTTGCTGGTGACACAAAATGGATGTGAAATTATGGTCATTGATAGGAAAATGCAATATTGTATAACTATGAAGCACGGATACGAATACTAATACGATACGAGTATGTCGATATGGCAAAATTGAAAAAAAGTAGGGTACGGGTACGGCTTGGTACGTTTGTAAAAAAATATTTATTTTTAATTTAGAGTAATACAAAAATTGATTCAATGATTTAATTTGTTAAGATTCAACCAACAATTAACATTTAATGCCAAAAGTAAAGGTATAAATCAAAATTAAATGTCATTATATTAAATAACTTAAAAATCACAACTTAATTTTATTTTATAAGGGTAAACTACTAATAGGTCCTAATAGTTGGACTTAATTCTTATCAAGTCCTATTGAAAATAAGACCTACTACAATCGTCATTAAAAATAATTTTTTGTGGCGATTTTTTTGCATATATTGCTAAAAATTGACAATTACTGACTTTTTTTGTTACGGTTTTTATAAATTGTCTCTAAAACTTACAATTAGTGACAAATTTTTCAAATTATCACTAAAGGTTGAAAATTAATAACATTTTTTTTAAAACAATTGCTAAAACTTATAATTAGTGACATTTTTTGTGACAATTTTTTCAATATATCGCTGAAAATTAACAATTAGTGATGTTTTTTAGTAGTGTATAATGAAAAATGCCATAAATTATCATATGACCTATTGGACAATAAGTCCACTTAGTAGGACCTACATGTTAATCTCCCTTATTATAATCATGGTAAGCATAAAATTAAAAAGTACGTTTGAATATTCCAAAAATTTGAATAGGTGTTTCCTGTATCCAGTAGGTGGGCAGAAGTACACCATACGAAGTACCATTCGCCGTTTAGTACCCAGTACTAGTACGACATGTTTGTCAAAATACTCATACTTCATAGTTGTATAACTAAGTAGACAATACTAGGCCTTAGTCTTGAAGGCCTTTGCTGTGGAAATAAATTAGATACGTGAATAAATTGTGCTCACTTCCTGTCCATGAAATGTGAAACAACATTACAATTTACAGCTACTTGATTTGAGAAAGTTTTCATATTTAAGAAGTTATTCTTTCTTGATTTCATCACCTATCTCATGGCTATTATTCTATGTTGTAGATATTTGGAGTCCTTGATGTGGAGAAAGAGGGTAAAATAACATTCAAGAAGGTGATAATCTCTCTCTTAGTTATACATGCGATCCCCAATTGGTCCCAACTTTGTCTGCACTAAGCCAATACAGAGCCTCTCATAGATGGAAAATCTATTGCTTGCAGTTCCTGTATGGGTCAGCTCATGTCCTACAGCAACCATTTTCAGACGAGCCTGTGAATTAGCCTTCGCTGAGTGTCACACTGGTGGAAACCATTACATTTCCGAGCAAGAAGTATGTCTCATACTCTTTTCCTTGGTATTCCCTTTTATTGATTATACTTTTGGATAAGGTTTGAGTTGTGTACTCTTGGTTGGTAAATGGATGGCTCAGTTGGGAGATTCCATTAAGCCATTCTAAACATGGACGACTTTGAGGTGAGTAATCGACATCCTCATGGGTTCAATGGACATGTCAATCTAATCCATACAATAACCTCAGAAATGTAACCACAACAATATATTTTTCTTGAAATTCTTTCGAACTGAAGCTTTGTTTTACATTTGTAGATCCATGAACTACTCAAATCATTTGATACCGATAGCGATGGGAGGATCAACAAGGATGATTTTATCGCCTGTTAAAGAAGAAATCCACTGCTTGTTGCACTTTTCTCTCCCCAGTTAATGCACAAGAACTTGTCTAGAGTCAATGCATAGGAGGTTAAAGGAGATGGTGTGATGGATGATGGGTTGATGAGTCTTCTTGTAGATTTGGCTCTATGAAACAGTTTAGCTCTTTCACAAAGGGCTTAAGTGAGGGATGGGATAGGTTATTTGCATATAATTCTTTTTCTTTTGAAAATAGTCACTTAGCTTCTTGTGGTTTGTTGAATAAAATATACCATCTTCATCAAAATTAACAATGTATTACACATGTCTACGTTTTCAAATAGTAGGGGATTATGTGTATGTATAGGGGTACAGTGAAGTGTTTAGTTTAGAAATTGAGATTATTTAAGTTTGTTTACAAGTACTCATAAATTACAACGACTCAATTGTTCATTTCAAATGACATGGGTATTATGTGCACATAACTTGTACTATAAAGGGATAAAGTGAAATATTGGTTTTTTTCTTTTTTTTCTTTTTTTTGGAGGGGAGAGGGGATAAATTATAGATATGCTACTTGAAATTTGTCTAGAAATATAGTTTACTTCTTGTGATTTTAGAAATTACAATTTTTCCCTCGTCGGAATTAGTTTATTAACAGAGTTGACGAAAAAAATAAAATTAACCCCTTTTTCCCCATAATTAACATTACCCTATTACCTATCTCCCTTTCCTTTGTTGTTAAACTTGTTCTTATTTTTCTTTCATTTCAACCACTTTCTCTCCTGGTCCCCCACTCTAGCACCCGACCCTCTCTCTCCTTCACAGCTACCATTGTAATTTCTTTAAATGGTTGGTGTACACTTTCTTTTCTAGTCACCTCCACTCCCTTCCCAAATTTTGCTGCTTAGTCTCACTCCCACTTGTACAATCCTATTTTGAAACACTTTATTAGTGCTCTTGTATTAAAATCTAATCAGAATATACCTGGAGCCATCTCCTTATCAATATAACCTTACGTGTAAAGATTGGGACCCCCACTGATGGAGACCCCCCAGCACCCCAGTGGGTGCTGATTGGTTGAATTTTTTTTTTTTTTTTTTTCTTCACCAATGACCAACCCCCACGTGTGTGTGGGGGTGGTGGGGGTAGGGTGAAATAGGGGTCCACAGCATGATTCTAACCTTACCCACCACTCCTACCCCCAGTTGTACTTGAAAAAGAAAATAATAATAAACAAATAATTATCAATCCCTCAGCCAAATAAATATTGGTTTAACATTCAAAATCGACACCATTGTTGTGATTTCAAAGAAAGAGACTTGCATATTTTTTCTTTATTTTTTTGTATTTTAGTAAATGCTGTTGTGACTACTTTCTTCCTCCTTTGTGAGACCTACCATTATTGGGTTCACACTCTCTTTTCTTCTTTTCTGTTTGTCATTTTTTTTTTTTTTTTTTTTTTGGGTTAATTAAAAAAAATTTCTAAGGTTTCACACGTTTTTCATTTTAAATCTCAATATTTCAATTTCAACAAATTAAACCTTGGAGTTCCATCTGTATTTTAATGTGCCCTCTTCTCCATTCATTTTCGTCTGTGCAAGGTAACGGAGAATCGTTTTGAGGTTTAAAGTGAAAAACACTAGAGTTTAAAATGAAAAACGCATGAAACTTTTTTAAAAAAAAAATTGTAATTAACCCTAATATTTATGGGTTGTTTGGGGTGTCCTAAATAAGTGCACTTTTTGTCTTTTTGGACTAAAAGTTGAGGAAAAAAATATGGATGTTTGGATTAACTTTTTATCTTTTTACGAAAAAATATGTAATAAAAAATTGTATAAATAAAGTATATAGGGGAAGAAAGTTGAGTAGGTTATACAGCTGCCCTGCTGGGGTAACGTGTCTTATAGAGCAAATTATTGCCTCCTTCGGGGCAAAGTGTTTAGACAGTGATGGTCGGTCCGTGGGGGCCACCACGGGTCCCATTTTAATAATCTGAACCATTCAATATATACAACTCGTCGAGTATTATATTCCTGTAAAAAATCACGATGATCGGATATCGATAGCTATATGATTGGATTAGTTTTTTTCAACAGTTAACTATCACACCATCCATTTTGTTTATACAAAACTGATTTGATCATATAGTCAACGATATTCGATCAACGTGATTTTTTACAGGCACATAGTACTCGACGATTTCTACATATTGAACGGTTCGGATTATCAAAACGGAATCCTTAGTGGACCCCCAAGGGTCCAACATAACCACCAAACTTTGTGGCTTTACATATATAATTTTTTTTTTTGTCAAAAGAGTGTATGACCTCCTGGGACAGTATGGCTGACGGTGTAATGAAAACTCTTTTATTATAAAAATGTATAAAATATTTTTTTAATATTTTTTATTTGTGAATAATATTTTTAGTATAATTTTTTAATTTTTTAAATTTTTTAGGACTTGCCAAATCTGATCTTAATATTCTCGCCTAATATTTACATAATTTTTTTAAACCAATAAATTTCGTTGCTAATATATATCATCTTTAGGACCAAATATTTTCGTCATTATCCATTAAAAATATTTTGGGACCAAATATTTTTATTATTTTAACAATTAAAACGTCGGGCCCTAACTTTCTCATTCTCACTTCAACGGTTTGCTCAATCTTCAGCCCTAAAGTTGGGAGCTCCAAGGCAGATTGGGAGCTCAATCTTCTTCAAATGTTGGTGCTTCTCTCTCTCTCTAATCGATCTCCGTAATCGACCTGTAAGAGCTCGAATTCGAACTTTCAATTTCTTATCGCAATCGACCTCCGCAATCGATCTGTAAGAGCTCCAATTCGAACTTTCAATTTCTTATTATTTCATAGATTGAACTTTTTGTGTGTGTATATATATATATCTTAATGCGTGTTGGAATTGAAGAATTCTTTACATAGATTGAACTTGTGTGTGTATATGTGTATTGTATATCCAATCTAATGCGTGTTGGAGATGAAGAATTGTTTTCTCGCATAGTTTGATCAATACTGTATTTCGTATGCTGTTAATTTGTTGTTTCAGTGAGTTTTTAGGTGTTACACTATCATTTTCTTTTTTTGATTTCCAATTTCTGATTATTACATGGATTGAACTTGTGTGTGTATATATATATATACGGCCTTCTTCTCTGTTTTCTCTCACTAAGAATAAGAATGATGAATGAATCGTCTCTCAGTTGGCCTTATGTATCAAACTCTCCATTTGTTGTCAGATTGGGTTTATCTCTGTTTTCTCTCATTAAATCATCCTCTTCTTCGTCGATGGATTGAACTTGTGTGTGTATATATCAAACTCTTGAGATCTTAATGACAGTAAATTGCCTACTACTCAACTAATGACAGTAAATTGCCTACTACAAGAAATATTTAGGGACTAGTTAGATTTGGTCCCTAAAAATAATCTTTTAGAGACAAATCTAAACTTATGATAATTTACTTGTAAAAATCTTCATAACTTTTGGAAATTCTTATGAGTTTACTCGCAAATTTAATTACCTAAGTATATGTTTTTTCTGGGTCCCTCACCTCCCCCACGTGTACGCCTCTTCTTCCTCTTTCAAAATAAAAATAAAATTACCTAAGTATATTTTTTTTTTGGGGGGGGGGGGGGGGGGGGTCCTGACTCAGTCTTCTGAGTCGGTACCGAGTAGTAGTTCCCAGGTGATATGATTTCGGGAAGCTGTGCTGTGTGTGGAGATTGTTTAGCTGATTTAATATTATTGTTATTTTTATAAATAAAATTACCTAGAGATTTTGGGTTGTTGACATAATTAGACTTGACTGTTCCCCAATATCTATAGTAGTAGTTGAAACTTGACACAACACAAGTATATGTTTGTAAACATTTAGTCTACAACAATTCTAGAAATTAAGCATCCAAATATGGAATAGAGACTACTATGGCAAATAAAATTTTTGGATGATTGTAATTTGAAAACGTATCGGTGAATGATTACTCATGAGTAATAATGGTGAATCATTAGGATATGCTTGTTTTGAATTACTAGTGAAGGAAAGTAACAAATTTTTATTTTGTTTTTATTGACATTAACTAAAGTAGCAACCACGTCCCTTGTGTATGAGTTGCAGTTTTTTGGTGATGCAAAGAGTTGAAGGATTCTTTTTCTATACTTCTTCCACAAATTGTTTCCTATAAGACTTTTGAGAAAGTCAAGAATATCATTTTACCTGACTATTTGCATCAAGGTAGCATTAACTGAAAAGCTTTTAATCATTCTGAGGAATTTTGTTTCTTATACATGATAATGCCTGATTTTGTAGCAATTAATCAGTATGCTTTCAATGTTAGGATGGATTTCTTGATTTTCATGACCAAAAAATTAAAAATAGGCATAATTAAAGTTGAAAGATATATTTAGACATACCTACATGAATTCAGGGACTTGGTATTTTTACGTAATGGAAGGTAAAGCATATCCCCAACTTTATAAACTCCACAATAAGTGAAATCTAACAGAGTTTGCAATTTTTATTTATTAGTTGTAAATGCTTACTGCTTTTTAATCTGGGTTAGACATTAATTCAAATTTTTCTATAGGATGAAGAGGTTCTAGATGAGGTGTATGATTCTAATGGAAGCAAACCGGCTCCAGATTATTCTAGGCCAAAGAGGAGTAAGCGATCAAAGCGGAAGCACACAGTATGAAAATGTATACTTAATTGAGTGTAGTTTAAGTGAGTTCTGTATATGTAAACAAATTTTATCTTAGTCAATATATAGTGGGCATTTTTTTTCTTTATAGCTTATTCATTTAAGGTTTACTTACAAATGATGAAAATCATTCTTTTTTGTTTGATTGAAAAGACTTGCACATCCATCATGATGTTTGAAACTGATATTTATGTCAAAAGTTTTTGAGTGCTCTTTAGGGAACCTTCTACACCATATTCTTTCAAAAATTAGAAATTGTTGAACCATAAATCACATCAATGGATCAAAGCAGCAAAGCAGGCTGTTTTACAGATGTAGAATGCTAGCTTTTGAATATTTTGATAATTTTATGCCCACCAATCCCAATATTTGAGGGCTATGTTACATGGACTCGGCACTTTGGGGTGAAGTACCCATGTTGACACGACACGGGTGCGGGTGTGAGATCTGTGTCGAATTCGCTTGTTCTCTCTCGAACACGGCTCTTTACAGACAACAAAAGAAATGAAAGAGGAAAGAGCAAGAGAGAACTTGGTCGAAGCTCCATCCAGTTGAAGATCGAAGGCCTCCAATCCAAGCTCCATCCGGTCGATCGAAGCTCCATCAGTCAATCGAACAGTCGAACACCCAGACAACTTCGAAAAGCCTCTCTCTCTCTCGCCTTCTCTCTCTCTCCCTTGCAATCGCGATCCATCGATTGCTTCACTTTTTTCTCCCTCTCTTTCTCTCGTTTTATCTTCTTGACTTTTCATATCTCTGTTGATTCATATCTATTTGTATCTATCTATATATAATAATAATAATAATAATAGTTAATAACTATTATGTTGTATCCTATTTCTAACTGCTTTGTTTCTTCTAGTCAATCTTCGCCATTGTTTATTTGATTAATCATTTTTTAGGCCATCTTAATCACCCAAAAGATCGATCTGCGTTTGTCCACCTAGTTTAAGTCACCCAATTCTTCCCAGTCCAGAGTAAGTCCTTAGGTTTAGGCAGTGTGCGACTTTGGGGTTCCAAGATAGGGTATGTATGTATACTAGGTATGTGATAAACTAGATAAGAATAGGGTATGTATTAAGATATCTGTAAAATTGATTCATTAAACAGAACAATGCGTCGACTGTTTAGAAGTAACTCATCAGTCAGTTCTAGGTCAACTACTTTGTCCTCAATATCTAATCAAGGATTAGTAATTAATGAAGAAGATGTTGAAATACAAAATGATAAAATTGATTACAGTTGGAATATACCAAAATTATCAATCAAAGAAATTTATAAGACTACTTTTATACAGAATCCTTTTCATGTTAATCTGCATGTTAAAACTATTGAACAAGTCTACGCTTTAGAAAAATCCAGGGAAACCTGTCAATTATTTGATAGTAAGCTCATTAAAAGACATTTACAAAATGGTCACAATTTTATTCATTTAGGATTAATTCAAGTCCATGTTAAACCATTAACCCAACAAGGTAAAAATACTTCTGTTTTATTATGCTTACGCGATGCTCGTTTTCTAGATTACAATAATAGTTTAATGGGTATGATGGAAACTGGTCTACACAAAGGTCCAGTACATTTTAATCGTTTTCCTGATTTTACACCTAGTTTACGAGATCCACATATTTTAGATGCATTAACTTTAAACATTCAGTTAAATGATTCATTTACTAACATGAAAGAAAAAGTTCATAATATTGCTTTAATATATCGTGTTCATTATAAATGCATGAAAACTAATTTAAATGTTCAAGCTCTGCATAAATCTCCAAAAGATAAAACTCTGCTGATTTAAAGTAGTAGTACTGATTCACATATTAATGTTCCTCAAATGATTGAATGGAAAAATATTACGCTCCCTGATCAATGGATTACTGTTAATAAAAACTACAAACATAATCAATAACAATCTTCAATTCAAGATATCCAACAATATGATGATGGTTCCGTTCGAATTAAATTTAATCGTAGTCAATCCTCTCGACATAGTACATCTAATGTTCCGACTGAAATTGAAACAGAAGATGAAATATTTAACACTCCATTATTTCGCAAAAATAGTCAAATCCATCTTGGCCAAACTTCCACTAGTAAATTAAAAGGCATAGATAATACTACTTCCTCTCAAATTAGTAAACCTGTTTATTCTTCACACACACATTTACCCGAAGAAGAAATTGCTTCTAATAATTCTCCAACTCAAACTGATTTTGAAGAATTTATACCTCCAGTCAACCCCCAATCCATGACAATCAAAAAAGATTTTCAACCTGATCTAGATAAATTACTTATTGATTTCAGATCTAAGGTTAATAAAATGCAAAGACATGCTTATTATGCTAAACATGATCCTACACAATATTCACGTATAACCAGAAAATAGTATGATTTTATGATTGAATATGGTATGGAAATATCTTTCTTTGATTACTATAATAATTATTACAAAAAGATTAATACAATCACAAAACATAAATGGAAAACGTCTCCTAATACATCAGTTAGTTCTAATCATCCTCCATTAGAAAACATAATTATTGATCATCAAGGTGCTGAAGTTCCAGCCTCTCCTTTTAAGTTACCTGGATCCGACCCTGAAATTAAAAAAGTCATTGAACAAAATAATTATAATAATCAATGTTTAAAAACAATTGGTAAACAATTAGATAAAATAGAAACCAATTTAGATGAACATTCTGTTAAATCCACTAAATCCTTAGATCAACCTTTGCTTAATCTTCCCAGTCATCGTTCCAAAAGAACTAGCTTAGTTACTAATGATCAATCCACTGTAAAGGCTATTGAACGATTATTTATTAAATTAACTCCAACTGATCATACTTCTACCTCTAAAGATAAAGGTATTACTGTTTTAAATCAACAACCTAATAATGAAACTATTTCTACTCAATCTAAAACAGAAACTACTGATAATGAAATAAATCAATTAGTTCAACAATTCCAATCTTCTAATCTCAATAAAATTCATTATCCCAAAATTAATCCTCAAACTACAAAAATTTGGTATTCTAAACCAACACCACCTGATCTCCAATATGAAGAAAATAATATTAGTAACCAATTTTCTGTCTCTGCTAAACGTTTATACGAATGGAATATTGATGGACTTAGTGAAGGTCAAATCCTCCAAAAATTAAATCATTTATCTATGGTCTCCAATAGTTATCTCTCCAATTATCCCCAATATTCTCAACCTGAAATTATTTCTTTAATTACTTCTGGTTTTACTAGTATGCTCAAATCTTGGTGGGAAAAATATCTTACTAACGATCAAAGAGAATCCATAATTTATGCTAATTAAACTGATGAAAATAATCTACCTATCTTTAATGAAAACCTTGGTTGTTGCCACCCTGATGGTATTAATACATTAATTTATACTATTGTTAGACATTTTATTGGTACTCCTACTAATATCTATTCTCGCATACATGATCAACTTAGTAATCTTACTTGTCCAACTTTAAGTGATTTTAGATGGTATAAAGATGTATTTACCTCTAGAGTCATGCTAAGAGAAGACTGTACTAAATCCTTTTGAAAAGAAAAATTTATTAATGGACTACCTAGTTTATTTGTTCACAAAATTAGAGATGTTCTTAGTCAACCTATTGGTGTTATAAAATATGATAATTTAACCTATGGCGATATAATTAGCACTATTCAAAAAGAAGGTTTAAAAATGTGTATTGATCTTAAACTTAGTCAAAAAGCCACTAAAGATAAACATAAAGCTAAATATGAATTAGGAAATTTCTGTGAATAATATGGTTTACCTCCTGTAGCACCCTCTCGTAGGAAATCACATAAATATTCTAAGCATAAATATAAATCCAAATATTCTAATAAATACAAAAAGAATTATTCACCTTCCAAATCCAATGATAAATTTTATACTAAATCCAAAAAGAAATATTACCAAAAATCACATCCAAAATCTAAATTTAATAAAGACATTACATATTATAACTGTGGTAAAAAAGGTCACTATTCTAATAAATGTAAAGAAAAACGAAAATTAAAAGATAAGGTTAATCAATTACAAATAATTGATGAATCTAAGAATCAAATATTTGAAATTTTTCAATTAAATCAATCTGTTAGTAATTCCTCTTCTGATAATCCAGAAACTTCCTCTGATGATAATTCACCCAATACTGATTCTGATAATAATATAACATTAGGATGTAATGATGTCTGCTGTAAACCAGTTAAACAAATTACTGTTCTTACAAAACAAAATCAAGCAGAATCTGCTTTAATTGAATTAATCAGTAAGTTGGATGATCCCAATTTAAAACAAAAATATATTGATAAATTAAAATCTTTATTAATCCATTCAGATAATAAACCTAAGTTTGATAAACCTATTATTAGTTTATCTAAGACTTTAGAAAGATTTAAAAATAAAAATAAAGAAATTACACTTCAAGATCTACAATCTGAAATCAACCAAATTAAACAAACTATTAGAGACTTACAGCATAAAGATAAAAAAATTAGAAGATGAAATTATTACTCTAAAACTTACTCAACGTTTAGATAATTTTCAACCTAATCCAAATGCATCACCTATTGAATCTCCACATGAGTCTGAACATGATTTTGATCCTACAAATCCTGATAATCAATCTCAATCTAATAACCTTGAAGAGAAACGATTCAATAAAATTTATATTCAAAAATGGTATTCAAAAATTAAAATCGTTGTTGAAGATTTTGAATTAGAATTAATTGCTTTAATCGATACTGGTGCCGATTTAAATTGCATACAAGAAGGCTTACTTCCTACTAAATATTATGAAAAATGTCATGAGAAATTAACCTCTGCTAATGGTAGTAAAATGTATATTAAATATAAATTACCTAAAGTTCATGTTTGTCAAAATAATGTATGTTTTAAAACTTCATTTGTTTTGGTTACCAACATGACTGATAAAATTATTTTAGGTACCCCATTTATTTATTTATTATGTCCATTTACCACATCTAGTAAAGGTATCACTACTCATGTTTTAGGCCAACCTGTTACCTTTACATTTTTATCTCCACCTGAAATGCTAGAATTAAATCAATTAAAAGATTGTTCTATTTCTCATACTATTAACAGACTAACCCGGCATTTAAACTTTCTTAAAGAAGAAATTAATTATAAACGCATTGACCAACAATTGACTGATCCAGTTC